CTCAGTTGTGATTCTTGTTTTTCTTTCCTAGTTTACTTGTAAGTTTCAAGGAGGGGCTGCAGCTCGCGCCTCTCATTGGGATGATGTATGAACTCGCTCTAATTTGCTTCTGAATCAATAAACTTACTATTATTCATCAAAAAAAAAAAAGATTGTGTTGAGTTGCTGGAAAAGTTGCAGTATACCGAGATCCAGACAGAAAGATGAGATGTAAGTGGTGGAAAGAGAGCATAAACGAATGTTTTTAGTTAAGTTTTATTACAAAATCTTGGCGAGAAATCAAGTTGACAGATCAGGGGTTAAGGGGTTTGGGTAAAATCCAATGCCTCTAAGGATGGAGACTTTTGCATGGCTGGTCTCATTGGATAGCATACTAACTCTTGATCAAAGAGGATTTCACTTGCGGGAAGTTGTTTTCTGTGTATCGTTGATGAGAAGGACGTGATGCATCTGTTTGTGGGATGTTGCTTTTTGAAATTTGTTTGGCAATGTTTTTTCAATCTTTTTGGTCTTGACATGTGGATTCCAAAAACCCCCATGTGAAATCTTTGGCAGCTGGCCTATCTCAAGAGGAAATAGGAGATCAAAGACTGTCTGGAGTTGCATTCCTTTTGCCATCTATTGGGAAATTTGGAAGGAAGGAAATAAAAGAACATTTGGAGGTCAATATCGAAGACCGGAGAACATAACGTTTTACTTAAGTGGAAAAAACACTTAGGGAGTAGGGACTGGGTATTAGTCTTGTCAGAATTTGAAGGTGTATCAAAATAAGTGTTTGAAGACAACTTTTGATCTGTTTTAGAAGTCTAATCTTGATCACTGTTGTATTATAGTGATGTTTTGCTTATTGTATTTTGATCGTCTTTTGTGACCTCTCATCACCTTTGATGTATTATTCTTTCATATTAATAATTTTTTTTTTCTTTTTTTTTTATTACCAAAAAATCTTGCTTATGATCTCAAGAGTTTCATGGTCTCTCAAACCTCTCCTGAATCTAAAGTCCCATGAGATATTTGAGTGTGGTAAGGATGACTAAAATGAATATGTTTTTGTCAGAGATGGCATGAACTCGGAAATGGGAGTTGGAATTTGACACATTACTGGTATTCTGACTTGGTGAAACCAAAAGTAGGATTCATGGACGTGTCTTACGTAAACAATATGTTATACATAGTAAACATTATGACTAACTAAAAGGGCAGCCCAGTGCATGAGGCTCCTACCAATGTGGGGATTAGTCTCTTTTCATCTGCTGCCACCAAAATAAATAGTAGGGGAGAGAGTGGGTCTCCCTCCCTCAATTCTCTGGTTGCTTTATAAAACCTTTTGGGGTTCCATTTGATCCATTGCATTCCAAATCCCATCTTATTGAGCAGCCAGTTAAGAAAACATCAAGTTAACATGGTTGCATGCTTTTCTGATCTGATTTATACACAAATCCCCACTTCTGGAGCTCCTTATATCATCAACTGCTTCATTAGCCACCCATATTTGATCCACAATTTGTCTCCTTTTATAGAAGTGCCTTGAGCCAGGGTCACTATCTAATTAATTCTTTGAACAGTTATTGAAGTGGTTGGCATTGTTTTGTTGCGAATGCCATATAAGTGTACTGGATAAGGTTTCTCTGGAGTGTATTACAAGTTTACAACTTCAAATCCAAATATTTAGTGGAGTTAAAGGAAAACAAACTCAAGACAGCCAAAAGCATGGGATAAAATGATATTTAATTTCTTGGTATGATATATCATATTCTTCTTGAGATATTTCTTTTTAATTTTATTTTGGATTGTTGGGTTACAATTTAGAAGAGGGAGGATTTGTGTTTTATCATAATCAATATATCATATCTTTCTTACAAATTTGTGTTTTTTTCTAATTTCTAGCAAAGCGTTAACATGCAACTTCTCTGTTCTTGACAGTTCCTGGAAGATTTTATCAATGGAGCTGAGGTTTCATCACTTTTGGATTGCATTCGCCTGACTGCAGGACCTTTGCTTTCTCTTGCAGCTGCAACTCGACCTGCACGTGCTGGTCCTGCTTCTGGTGCTCCTGGTGTAACAGCCAATCTCTCTGCTATTCCAAAGCAAAACGGTTTTATGCCATCGCAAGGACTGTTGCCAGGCGGTTCATCGTCAAATGCTACTCAGGCTACATCTACTACTGTAGGAAATCCTGTTGCAAGTACTGGCATGGGTCCTCTTGGGAGTCACAGCTTTCATAGTGTTGCAACATTGGCTGTTGCAGGAAGAGGTGGACCTGGAATTGTTCCTAGCTCACTGCTTCCAATTGATGTCTCTGTTGTATTGCGCGGTCCATACTGGATTCGCATCATCTATCGTAAAAACTTTGCAGTTGACATGCGTTGCTTTGCTGGAGATCAGGTTTGGTTACAGCCAGCAACACCACCCAAAGGAGGTCCTTCTTTTGGGGGATCATTACCATGCCCTCAGTTTCGACCTTTCATAATGGAGCATGTTGCCCAGGAGTTGAATGGTCTAGAACCTAATTTCAGTGGTGGTCAACAGCCAGTTGGACTTGTCAATTCAAGCAATCTGAACCCTGGTTCAGGTGCACAACTTTCTGCTGCTGGTGGAAGCCGTGTTAACCTTACAGCTTCTAGTCCGATTTCTAGATCGACTCCAATGGCTGGAAACCAGGTAGCTGGTCTAAGTCGCATGGGCAATGCTCTGTTAACTCAAAATTTAGCAGCTGTTGGCTCAGGATTACCTTTACGTAGAACACCAGGCACAGGTGTACCTGTGCATGTAAGGGGAGAACTCAATACAGCTTTCATTGGGCTTGGGGATGATGGAGGATATGGTGGTGGATGGGTTCCTGTCGTTGCTCTCAAAAAGGTTTTACGGGGAATTCTCAAATACCTTGGAGTTCTGTGGCTATTTGCACAATTACCTGATCTTTTGAAAGAGATTCTTGGGTCAATTCTTAAGGACAATGAAGGTGCTCTTTTAAATTTGGACCAGGAGCAACCAGCCTTACGTTTCTTTGTGGGGTAAACACTAATTCCTATCATTTTGTTTATTAGAAGTGATTTCTTGGTTGCCCTGAAACTGTTTGTTTATATTAAAGAAGGTTTTTAATTCCTTTTGGCTATCAGGTTTGCATTTTATTAAATAATTAGTTGAAAACTGAAAATGCAGACATGATTTGGTTAATTTCATCAATGAAGAACTTGTATAATTCTCAAACAAAGGAGGGGGGTGAGACAAAATGTAAGAAAGATATCTAAAAAGACATCAGCTTAGATTCTTGATTTATATCAGGAGCAATCAGCCGCACTAGTTATAAAATGTAAATATGGAGCAAGTATTATGTCCTAGGAATAGGTGGAGAATAATCTAGAACAACCCAAACCCATGTACAAGAGCCCCTTTACAAAATATACGAAAAAATGAGTCCTTCCCTGGATGGAATGATCAGGGTGGCTCAGTATCATTTGCAAGGACATCTTGTCCCCTACAATATGTAGCCAATCCAGAGCACCATCCTTGCAAAATATCCAACTAGAGACAGTTTGTCAATCTTGGTCTTTAATTGGAAACTTGGGATGGGATGTTCATTGTGACTGCTAATACACAAGATTCTCTGGAACACTTCCCAGGGCATCCAGATGAGAATGAAGCATGTATATTAAAGAAAGAAAATAACTTCTAGATGGTTGGTCAACTTACTTTTTGGGCAAGGCCATCTTGATTTCAGTTCAGGTATTATTAGATATTTAATAAACAGTTATTCAAATCTAATGTTTATTAGTCTTGATTTTTGTATATTAGAATTTGACTACAAACCCATGGTCAATTTGTTTAGTGTATTCATAAAAAACAAAGATAAAAGAATTGAGAGAGAGAGAGAGAGGTTTGTTTAGTGTTTTCATAAAAAACAAAGATAAAAGAATTTACCAATGCAACTCAGGAACACCTATGTAAAAAAATAAAATAAGGGGGGAAATGCAAGCCTCACTAGTGGTAGTGGAATGCACAGCATTCTTCTTCTCATGTGACACTTAGCGTATTGTACACAACTATTGTTTTATACATTTAATAAAGTTATTGTAGTTACCATTACAAAAAAATGATGTTAATGGTTTCTTTGCCTCCTTTTAAGTTTGATTGAACAAATAAATAGCTGATATCAACAAAAAACAAATGAAAGATGACCAGATATCTAAAGTTGAGTTTAACCAAAAAGTTATTTTTTATATTTCTTGATTTATTTTAATGGTTGATTACTGTGCTTCTGAAATCAACAGAAAGAGAAAAAGAGACATTGTTCTCCACGTTTGAGACCTCTCTGTGATCACTCATCCAGGGGATTCATTAACCAAGACCCTATAGGTGACTATAGTCTATGGAGACACATTGCATTATCCAATTTCTACACTTGGTCCAAAGCCCATATTTCCATGACCTTGTTAAGAAAAGTTCAACTCTGTCATAGGCTTTGGTCATATCAAGTTTTAATGCCATATACTTGATTTTATGGAAGCTTCAAAATTCCGATACACCCTGGTACGACAGGAAGGGTGTACTGATACTTTTGACCCTTGTGTTTTATTATTCTTTTAGTTTTTTTTTTCAAAATTTGAGTTTTGAGCATATTATTATACATTTTATTTATTAAAAACAATACTTAAAAAACCTTTAAATAGGTGTATCGGTATTGACAAGATACAATACGATATGTCCTGTATCAGGTGTACCGTATCGGAATTTTCAACCTTGGTTTTACCCCTCGTCCTTTTTAAAAACACAATACTTTGGAGGGCTCCACTTGATCTAGAGCCACTTTAGTATTACCATTAATAATGGGTCCCTCCAGCAGAGATCCCTGTTCTTCACCTAAACTATTCTAAACATTTTTTTAATGTCTCTTTTGATAAATAACATTTTTTAATGTCTTCCCTACTCAATATATTTGAAACCTTGAAAAGTTCCTGAAAAGAATCTGCAATTTGATCTTTAGATTTTCTTGCCCTCAATTTACTGACCCTTTTGAAATTTCAACCTATCAATTCAATTTTTGCATCTCCTTTGGATAGTTATAACATGGAAGAAGCAGGTATTTCTATCCTATTATTCTTCAATCTCTTTTGGTAGTTGGGAGTGCTCCGTTTTCTTAGATGAGGAAAGTTTTTTATTGAACAATGCATATAATTTTTGTGATAGAAAATATTGTTGTGCTTTATAGGTATCTTGAGGATTATCCACTGCTTTACACAATTTTTTGCATGCAAATTAATTTAGCAATGCTCCTCTGTGATGTTCATGCTTTCCCTGTCAGGATTCCTAGTTCTGGATCTGAAAATATTTCTTTTTGCAGGGGCTATGTGTTTGCGGTGAGTGTCCACAGAGTACAACTTCTTCTGCAAGTGTTGAGTGTGAAGCGCTTCCATCACCAGCAGCAGCAACAACAGCAGCAAAACCAAGCTAATGCTCAAGAGGAATTGACACAGGCTGAAATATCAGAAATATGTGACTACTTCAGCCGTCGTGTTGCATCAGAGCCTTATGATGCATCACGGGTTGCATCCTTCATCACTCTTCTCACGTTGCCCATTTCAGTTCTGCGTGAGTTCTTGAAAGTAATTGCTTGGAAAAAAGGATTATCACAGGCACAGGGTGGGGACATCGCCCCTGCACAAAAGCCTCGTATTGAGTTATGTCTCGAGAATCATGCGGGATCAACCATGGAAGAGAATCCTAAGCATTCTTCAACTTCAAAAAGCAATATCCATTATGATCGGCCTCACAACTCTGTTGATTTTGGACTTACTGTTGTCCTTGATCCTGTACACATACCTCACATAAATGCTGCTGGTGGGGCTGCTTGGTTGCCCTACTGTGTTTCTGTGAGATTGAGATATTCATTTGGTGAAAACCCTCATGTTTCTTTTCTTGGAATGGAGGGTAGCCATGGAGGCCGAGCTTGTTGGTTGAGATTGGAAGACTGGGAGAAGTGTAAGCAGAGGGTAGCCCGAACAGTGGAATTGAGTGCAACTTCAGCTGGAGATGTTGCACAGGGGAGGTTGAGAGTGGTTGCAGATAATGTGCAAAGAACACTTCAGGGTTGCCTTCAGGGTCTAAGGGATGGTGGTGGCATTACCGGAAGTTCTGGTGCAACGTGATCACCGTTAAATATCATTTCATTGGTAATGAAAGAGGGAAAATGAAGATGCATTCTTACGGCAGTGGTATCTCCATTTGCTAATGAAACCTGATTGAGCTACACGTCTCAACGAGGAGCTTCAGATGGTTGGTTCATAGCCATCAGCCAGCTTGGTTATACTGGTGGTTGCATACTTGGCCATTTCTGTGATTAGATTGAGATACCTTTGCAAAAAATATGTGGTGGAGGTTTCTACAGCAGTAAATAATGAGGGGGCAGTTGAATAGGCATTAGCCCATGATGAATGGATTTTAATTTCCAGTGGGCATTGGGCAGTGTTTCTGGCTCCTGTTTATCTAACCTAGAGATCGTCAGAGAAGCGGGGTGTAAGATATATTTAAAGGAAAGGTTCATCTTTTTTGTAAAATTGGTCCAAGTTGGAAGCGTTTCATGACATGTACAGCAGCTTACACACTCACTTATTGGGCATTAAAACTAATATTGTAAAAAAGGAAATTAGTTTTACGATAGTTTACCTGCTGGCTACAAACTTAATGATGTTAATCTTCTTTCTTAACCCTTGTATCGTATGAAGATGAGGCTCTCACTCTCAGGCTTTCAATCCTTGCAATTAACTAGTAGTTGGATGTTAGCAGCAGAATTTCAAGTAAAAAAAATACAAAGGAATTCTTATGTTGGGGTGGCTGCAGTATGCCATTTTTGGATTTATTTTTTACATTTTCGCATAATAACCCTGTACTGCCAAGTGCCAACATGTATATAGGGGGATCTTATTAGTTATCATCACTTAGTTCCTTCTAGTTGGGCCTGGTGGCCCTGGTTCATGATGAAAGTTTTTAATGGGATCTAAAACATGGTACATGATGAAAATCAACTATGTCGGAAATGGGGCTGGGGAGGAGATAGCAATGTTTATTTCATTATAGTGAACTTAGTGTCATCTTTGTTCCATTGAGAGGGCTTAAGTTTACTTGTTGCCTTTCTAGTCTCTGCCCCATCTAAAAGAATAAAAAATAAAAAGAAAGTGGGTATTCCAAGGTTGCCCTAAAACTCGTCTCAATTACATGGGTTTGGCTACATGAATCTCGTTCCGCCATTTTACTCTATTAGCATGAAATCAAGGAGTATCAACTATGCGTATTGCTGAGTCAAAGAGGCAACCAACTGGGTCGTGTTCATATCTGCGAAAGTTTTTTATTATTTATTTATTTTTTTGATAAGCTATGTCTGGGAAAGGTTACCACCGAAGTCTGAATATGGCCATTTAGACTAAATTTACATATTTAGCGTTGCAGTGGATTTAAAAGCTGATGAATCGTATGATATACATTGATACACCACAATATTTTGAACCTTGGTATAAAAGTATCAGGAATGCAGAGTGTATAGGAACAAACAATCTTAAACTTGAGATGTATCATGATGCACTTAAAAAATACAATGAATATTGTGAAGCTTTTAAGATGGGCAATATTTATGATGCCGGATAGGTATGATATCGGAAGAACTTGAATTTTGATGAATATCAGCTAATTGGTTATTGTTTTTATCATATAACTTTTTATGATATTGTGGCTTTCCGGTATCATGGTCCAATTCTTTAAGATGATTGTATCTTTGTTTTGATGAATGGCTCTAGAGCTTTTGCATTTGGGGGCTATTTAGTTCTGTTGCTTAAATAAATGTTTTGTATCTCACTTTCATTGAAAAATGAGAATTGGTTGAAAAATGTTTTTAGCGTTTTTTGACAGTTAGGCGCCATTGGGTGCCATATAAGTTAAATAATGAAAAAAACGCCTATGAGACTAAACTCCATTTTGATCTTTAGACAAGAGACCAATGCTTTAAAAAATGATACAGAATCAGAACCATTATGGCCACTGGTTTTCGGGTCGATGGTTTGACTGTCCAGTCTGAAGGGATGGGTCATTCTGACAAAATAAATTAAAAATAAAAAATAATTAAAATTTAAAATGGCCAAAAACCATATAACGGGTCGATAGTTCGACCACCCGGGTTAACGGGTCATTGACCGATTCAGCGATTTTTGGCCAGAAACTGGGTTTGAGGTAAAACAAAACCAATTGCTTAGATGGTTCCCAGGACTAACAGTCTGACCGTCCGGGTCAATGGCGGTTCGAAATCCCCACCCTGCCTCCGCTCTCTATGTAGGATGGAATTAGATGGGTTTTAATCCAAAGAGGGTTCTTCCGATGTATACTAAAGAACATGCATGTGATGCTTGGCTTGGGGGTCAGATCTCGAACCTGTGAAATGTTAGAAGCTGCTTGCTGAGTTCTTCCCAAAGTCCGCTGCAACGCTCTAGTATCTTTGTCTATCTTAATTTTTACCTTGGGCTTTGGTTCGTTCAACACTTTGGATTATTTTTTTGGTTATGTAATGTGTTGGTTATTTTGATGGTTTGGCGGGTCGTATTGTATCTGATCATGCATCTTCATCGTAGGGAAAAATCTGGACTGGACTTGTCATGTGCCCAGTATTTGGGTAGTCAGGGCCTACAATTGAATGGATTTAGTGTCCATTTGATTGCGAGGGCTTTCATGCAGCGGCTTCTGGTTTTGTGAGCTGAGTCCCATCTGGGCAGCCTATAAGCCAAAGCCATGCTGGGTGAAAAGTCGGGAAAAATCTTTGTTGTTGGGAGCCAACGGCTTATGTTGTTGAGAACATTTTTGCGAGTGCCACATTATTATAAAGTGGGGTAAAATAGTAATTACCCTTTATTTCTTTTTAACCATAAAGGCATAAATATATATACATGGGCGTGAATTCGTGTCTAGCCTGAAAACACTCTCCCAACAGCTAAAGTTAACTCAAAAAATCCAGAGTCCAAAAACATTGGCTTTCCGCTTATGTTTGTTTTTAGTGTCTGTTTGGGAGGGATTTTATGCAGCGGCTTCTGGCATTGTAAGATAGGTAAAACTGTGAAGCAGTGTTTGATGAAAACCCGAAACCAGAAGCAATATTTCAATCAATGCAACTCAATGAACGCTGAAACACTCCCAAATGGGCCCTTAATAACTTGTTCAAATCAGTTCAACCCTCCCAAATGGGCCCCTTAATAGCTTCTGGAAATGGGGCCCTTAATAACTTTTCCAGAGCAGCTCAACAAAGCGCAATTATGTGATTCAATGTCTGTGGCTCTGTGCAGTTACACTAAAAAAATCTATAATGATGTAGATGTTCCCTATCTAGTACGGTGATAAGGTCAGCAGCTCTTATTTCGACTTTTGTTTTGATGAAAATTGAAAATCTCCCTTCCCACGTACACAAACCAACCAAGGCAAAAGGGGCAAAAATCAGATGACAATGTCCTGTGTTAATGATTCAAAGGTATGATGAGTCCCTATACTCAAATCACCATTAACCGAAGACAACCTCATCATAGTATTTATTTATAATTTTCAATTAAAATATTTACTTTTGTAAGTAGGGGTGTTAATGGATCGGTTTTGGGTTGGACTAGATGTGTAAATCGGGCCGTGCCGCCCGTGGCCTAGAATGAATTTGAACCGGTCCAATAGGATGGTCCGCGGGCTGTGCCAGGCCCGACATGATCATGTGAGCTGTGCTAGGCTTTGGGTTTTAGGTCCACGGGCTAGCACAACACGACACGACTGAGCAGGCCGACATGGCCCAAATATATTATATATATTTATATATTATAATTATATAATAATATATTAATAAAATAAATAATTTTTTATTTTATTATACTAATTTATTTAATTATTATATATATAAGCAATTGTATACACAAAATTCATATAAAATTAAAATTTTAATTTTTTTGTCAATTTTTTTTTTAAATAAATTGCTTTGGCTCGATGCACAGCCCGACTAGGCCTAAGGCTTGGCCCACGGGCCACTCCAGCCCGCTGCACAACACGAGTTCGCATGGGCCAACCCCCAAAATTTTCACCGAGGAGGGCAGTACGACCCTCACTTTGTGCGGACCGCCCACAAGCCCTGGCATGTTGGCCCAGCACGACAAACTTTACACCTTTAGGTTGGACTCTGTCCAAATCAAAATCAATTTGGATGGACTAACTAGACATATTGAATTTGGATGGGCTGGATGAACCAATATGATATATTGGATTGGACCTAGTCCGTTCATAATGAATTTATATTAGATTGAGCCAATATCTGATCCATTGATAGAAGATAAGAACATAGGTGGCAATGGACCAGGTTTGAGTTGAAACCAATCTAAATTAACAGGAATTTGAACAGATTGGACAGTCTCTGGACCAGTCCAAAATGGTCCAAAATAGATTGGACCAGGTTCATTTGTAATAGATTCACATTGGACTGGATTGGATTGGACCAAATTCAATCCAATTGACACCCCTATTTGTAAGCAATTTTTAATAAATATTTTCGTAATTAAAATATTAGATTTTAGTATATTTAGTTCACTTGAAGTAATAAGTGATTAGATTTGAATTTAGGAGAACAAAATAATAGATATCTCGTATAAGGCTTGTATATACTCTCCTATAAAATAAAGAAAGAAAAAATGAAAATATTTCAGTTTGGAAATGGTTTGTTAACATGTATGACTCTGTTTTCAAAACAAAAGAAGCTTATGATTTAAAGTAGGGGTGTCAATTGGACTGGATTTGGTCCAATCCGATCCGGTCCAATGTGAATCCATTATAAATGGATCAGGTCTAATTTAATCTAATGAATATTTTGGACCAATTTGGACTGGTCCAATTTAATGTCTGGACCGTCCAATCTGTTCAAATTCATTTTGATTTAGATTGGTTTCAATCCAAATCGGGTCCATTGACACATATATTCTTATCTTATATCAATGGACCAGATATTGGTTTAATCCAACCCATTGCAATCCAATCTAATAAATATTTTGGACCAGATTGGTCCAATCCAATATGCCTTGTTGGTCTGTCCAAATTGATTTTGGATTGGACGGGATCCAAGCCAAAACCAGTCCATTGACACCTTTAATTTAAAGGATTCATATTCTTGAAAATATTTTGATTTTAGGTTTATTTTAATTATTAATCAAATAGTTATGGTTCTCATCAACATTCATTAATTTAATCGATTTAACATCAATGTGTGAATGGATGCTAGTTATATATAAAACTAGGATATAACATTTTCTTGGGGATGTAGCTCAAATGGTAGAGCGCTCGCTTTGCATGCGAGAGGTACAGGGTTCGATCCCCTGCATCTCCAAATTTTCTTTGATTATGCTATGTTTTGAAACAAAAAAGATAAATCGTTTCTCATTTATTTTCTTTTTGTCTGGTTGAAACTTCTCTAATCTGGGTCTGGGTCTGGGTCTGGGAGGGTTAGAACGCATACTTTCAACCCAACCTACTATTTTCCCAATCAATTGGTCATTAACCCGCTAAACTAGGTGATTGAACTATTTAACTTGTTCAACCCAAATAACAATTTTCAAGCCAAATTTTTATTATTTTTTATTTTCTTTGAAATATCATGAATTGATTTATTTGAACTGAATGATTGAACCATTAACCCAAAAACCAGTAGTCTAAGCGGTTCTGCTTCTAAGTTTATATTAATGGGAGAGAGGCATTACAAGAAAAACCGGCCAAACTGGCGGTGTTAAACCGGCTAAACTGCCGGTTTATAACTAAAAACAGCGGCATAGATACA